GCTAATATAATTAACATTTTATTTGTGTTCAAGGCCACATGATTTTTCTCTAAGTTCTCCCTTTATATCATTTTAGCAAAAGAAAGCTGATTTTGGCCAAATTAATCATTATTAAACAATACTGATATGCTCTACTGATGAAAAGCCACACTGCATGTTAGTTCCTCAACATGTTGTCCGTTTCCTTCAATAGGTCACATACTTAAAAAAAAAATTTGGAGGAGAGAGATCTGCAAAGGACCTCAAGAAGGGAATCAAACTCAGGTCACCGTGAGCACAGTTGCGCTGTATGTCGACACACTAACCACGAGGCTATTGGCGCTGACAACAGGCCGCATATGTTAATGTTCAACGGGCCTGTCTGAATGGGTCAAACAGACCAGATGCATCTCTCATCAATTCACTCTGCTTGTCCCTGTGCGGTCTGTCCACTAGTTTGTGATTCATAGCACATGGGCCTACTAATGACCAACATCAGCGTTCAAGCCAAGCTGGAAGATTAACCAGCTCACAACTTATTATTGACATTGATAAAATGGGGACACAGACAAATACACAGACTATTTAGGAAGAGTAGACAGCCAGTCCGTTGGAAGAAGGTCATGTTTATTTATGGCACAGCTGCATAGGGTAATAATAACAACCAAGTCAACATATTGTTGAAATCAAAATTAGAGTTTTGTGGATTTTGTCTGTTATCTATTTATTTTTGGCATGACCCACCCCAAAACACAAAACGTGCCTTTTTCCAATGATGGCCATTTAAAATTAGCAGTGTAATCTGATTTTTTATTTTTATTTTTTATGTAGTATATATATTTTATATATTTATAGAGATGTATTTTTAGTTCATAATGTATTAATTTTTATAATATAAAATATATATTTTTTATTTTTATTAAACATATTTTAATATATATATATATACAGTGGGGGAAAAAAGTATTTAGTCAGCCACCAATTGTGCAAGTTCTCCCACTTAAAAAGATGAGAGAGGCCTGTAATTTTCGTCATAGGTATACCTCAACTATGAGAGACAAAATGAGAAAAAAAAAATCCAGAAAATCACATTGTAGGATTTTTAAAGAATTTATTTGAACAGAGCGTCGCGACCCGTACTCCCCCGCAGAAAGATCAAGGGGCGGGGTGGCGCTCTCGGCCGGGGCCTTCTAGACAGAAAACGGATCTGCGGACCGTTATTATGTCTAAGAGGACCTCGGTCAAACGGGCCTGACAATTCCACCGTCAGGGCCACGAGGGCAGCCTACCACGGGGAGGAGAGGTACAAACCTCAGCAAACGGTGCCTGATCCTCCTCAGTGCCCTCGGGGAGACTTACTGATGCCCCTGCCACCCTCGGTGCTTCAGGGCCCAGTGGACTCCGGCGAGCAAAATTCCTCCTTGGCTCCTTGTCGTCGTGTAACGCTAACATCTAACGCTTTGCCCTGGGCATGGTTAGGGCGTTCCTTTACCCGAAAACCGGGTATGTCCCTAAGGTGCCCACCTCGTCGCCAGGTCCCATTGTACTACAGGACTTTTGTCCTCCTCCCTTCCAGGAAACAGGCCAGGAGAGACTCAATCTGCTGTGACTTACATTCACCGAGCTGCACAGTGGCGTAAAGCAGATCAGTTATTTATTTGCTTTGGTTCCACTAAGAAAAGAGTTCCAGCGACCAAGCAAACTATGAGTCAGTGGGTGGTCGAGGCCATCAGACTGGCCTACGAGTCCTCTGGCCTCCAGTCACCCATGGGGGTCAGAGCCTCGTTCCCTTCGGGGAACCATGATTACATACGTAACCTCGAGACGTTAATGTACTACCAGCAGTAGCTATGTTATTTTAGGGAAACTATAATTTCCATGAAGAGAAGGTTTGATTTCCACAGAAATAATGCTTTTACACACATTATCTGCTGCATGTCTCGAAAGGCTTGAGCTCAATGAATAACTTTTCCAAAATGTTTCAGAAAAAATATCAAATTATGTCTCGGTAATGTTATGATCAGGGTGAGAGGCAAACATTATAAATGTTGTGCGTTCCTCTCATTAATGTTTTATCGAGGAACATGCAGCGAAGTGTGTCAAAGCGAATCCCGCATGACACACGCGCACACAGATTCAATTAGATTTTCAATTTTGTGCAGATATTTATTAAATGGCACTGATTTTTCAGCACATTTTATTTTCCAGCCGTGGCTAATGTATAATGTATGTGCTGTCAACCTTTGATGTTTAAATTCTGGTACTCTCACGAGGCTTAAATACATGCAAACACCTGTTAATTATTTTTCATCTACTGCATTTAAATGACTCCTAAAGGTTTGATTACTGCCAGTTGAAGTCATGCAGATCTGATGAAGAAAAGCAGATGCTCTTGCGCAGTGATATATGATGGGCCTAAAGTATGGTAAATTCATATTTTCTCAAACAGTTTTTATTTAATCCTTGTGAATTTTTTAAAATAGTTTAACAGTGCTATTTTCAGCAACTTTATAGTAATTATCAAACATTTGTATTTCTATTAAAAATAGTGTCCTGAATAGATTGCTTTGAATGCATTTAGTGCAATTTTGCCACAATAACATTATTCCTATAGTAAAAACGTGTTAAAGAGTTGCATGGGAAGTTTTGCAGGCATATTTGTAATGATTTTCTTTTGTTTCAAATATGTGCCTCGCACAAAACTGCTGATAGCCGCTCTCTCAATAAAACAAATGAATAGTCTAGATTCCACTCAGTTGTTACCAGCTATAAAATCTCAGCTATGCTCCACAAATTTTAATGTACTGCATTAATTCAAACCCACCATGTCCTTGATCCAAATGCCTGTGGCTGGCTGTTGGCGCTGTAGTACAGTAGGTGAGTGTAGGTTGTGTGTGAGGATTGAGTGGACAAAAGGCCCAATATTTCTCTGCGCAAATGACCCACTTGGGCGCCAATTATATTAGGGTTAAACTGCAGATACAAAGCAAAATTACTGTGTGTACATGTTGCATGAAAGCAGGTACTATATTGTGTTGCTTGGCTTTTTAATGCTGTGCAAATTCAACACGTGTTTACAAAGAAATCACAATCGTGGAAAACAATGTATCATGCTTGTAATTGTTTACTAACTGGTTAGAATTTGCATACTGTACTGGCTGAAACTAAATCTAGAAAGATATATCTGCATATAAATAGATAAATAAGGATTTGAGAGTGTCTGTGTCTGTCTGTGTCCATCAGATGCTGTTTCACCCCCGAGATGAAACACTGCATGATGTATGCACTTGTGTCCAGGGCCCCATCTCATGGTTCACGGGGAGCCCCCAAGATTTGCGGTAAGCCACTGAGTTTACATTGTGAGCACATTAGTCAACTGTTATTTAGATAAGGGCCAAGTTTCACTTTATGATCCTCACGAGGCATTCTTCACATAAGCATCCAGGGTATTTTACAAACCCCCCCCTCTCTCTCAATCTGTTTTTTGAAAAAGAAACGAGAAGCGCAGTTACAAAGCTGCCTGCTGAGGAGGTGGACTCAGCCTCCAGGCTGATCATATGGCTGGCGGCCTGATTCGTGCAGCTCTTGACAGATACAAGCAGCCCAAATTTCCCCCTGTTTTGCAGTCTGCCGCTCCATGTGTTGCTTATATTTATAGCCCTGGCTGTAGTGTCCGTGCACATAATAGTTTTAGCATTGCTGCCACATTTGCAATAGCAAACACTTCAGAGTGGGGGTTTGGGGTTTAAATATTAGTATGTTTTGAAGGGTAGAGCTAAAATGAGGCTTTTGTTTTCAGTATGTTTTCTAAGGATTGAAAGGAAGATAAAAGTATGGGTTTTGACCTTTTGGAATATTTTTTTTGGTAATGGTAATGATTTGTGTGCTTGGATGCTGCTGATGTCATGGAGGGATTTTGTTATGACATACTTAAGCAATTTATTTGAAAAGTCTCAGTACATGGTCAGATATTAACCCTTTAAAGGACCACTTCAAATAAAAATTCTCATCAGCTCATCTTCATGTGTAACAGATGTTAGGTAGAATATTCAAGATGCTATTTTCCTTACACATCAGTAGATTTGTACTGTCAGTCTCCAAAAAGCACCATGAAATATAAAACCAGTTAATATGACCTGTGCACCATTCTTTTACTAAAGCTGTGCAGTAGCTATCAAACCATACAGTATTTTCTGTTGCCTCTATTTGATCTTGCTGCATTACAATTAGTCACATGATATCACTGATGTTAAACCTGCAGATTACATTTTAGATCTTACAATTGATCTGAAATCATATCAGTGAATAACCACTTTCAGCTATCGTACTGTATTTCTCCAGTAGACTAGGAATGTAGCACACAAGTTGCAAGTATGCAAAGCAGCAGTAAATATTCTAATAAAGTTGAGCAAACAGGGAAAATGCTAAAAGGAGGTCAGTCTTATATCAGCGTTTCCATGACCTCTAGATAAAAACAAAACAAAAAAAAACTCAATATCATATACAGTAAAAACATCTCATGATCGATAAAACAAGATATACTTACTTGAAAAAACTAAACGAAATATTAAGTCTTTTTTTTTTAGAGAAATCTAATTGACAATGGAGTAAGACAAAAAAAACTAATTTGGATGGAACACTATTTTGTTTTGGATTTTATTACCAAAACCTCTAAAACAGGATTTGATATCTTATGTCATTTTGCACAAAAATAAAAGCTTAAAACTAGATACATTCACTTTAAGATATTTTTGAAGTACGTTTAGATATTTATACTGCAGACAACACGCAAGCATACTGAGTAAGAAAATGATTTATATATATATTTTTAAAATGAGGTCAGTTTGTAAATGATCTTTCAACTATTATATTGTTGTCCAGGTAATGGATATCGAACAGCTCTCCATCTCTATCCATCTACAAATACCCCAGCAGTGGATCTGGCACAGCGCAGGACTTCTCATCCGTCTGTAGAATGTAGCCCTGGGTTACACATAAAACAATGGCATTCTTTCAGTTAACATCAGAGACACTAGGACCCAGCGAGTCTCTTCCCTCCTCATCAGGCTCCCTTAGTTCCAGAGCTCAGTGAGCGGTCTCAGAACAGAGTGCAAAGAGAGAGAGAGAGAGAACGAGGGAGGGAGAGAAAAAAGCCAAGTGAATGTTAGAGTCCACTGTGGTCACTGCTGAAATACTGAATCTGAGAGAAATGGAGGGATTAACCAGTCGGATTTAAAAATCTGGAGCTCATGCAGAGGCAGCCAATCAGGGGACGATCTGGATTAAAAGGTTTGTGTGTGATTGATCATTCTTGCTGTAATCTATCAGGGCTTTCTGTTTTGTCAGGAGTCAGCCGGCGTGCAAGAGCGTTCGCGGGCATATAGACACTGCTGGGAGCTCCTGGCTGGTGAGTCTAGTTACGTGTGGGACATGTGCTACTTACGCCGGATGAAATATTGTGACAGCAGAGACAGGAAAGAGGGCACGCTCCTGACACTGAGGAATGGAAGTCGCTGCAGCTGTAAACAGTGCTGGAAGAGGTCTAGACCGTCTCTCGCTGAGCGTGCCTGAGGGTCATTCCCTCACTGTCCTAGACCGGTTGATGTTTTTCTCGGTGCAGATGAAGCAACATCTCGCCCTCAGGGGGTAGGGCGCTATGTTCTGGTCGGCATTGTTTGTATTTGATGTTCTCAAGTTCAGCACCCAGGGTTCTGCGTGGGGAACTTTGCTCCGAGACTTGTCAACAAATGCGGTGTTAAATAAAGCAGCCACGAGTGAAGTTTGAATGTGCTCACTGGGTGGAAAACAAGTCAGCGCAGGGAAGAAGTGAGCCACATTGCTCCAAACGATTCCACCCGCTTAAACTGGAGACAGAGAGACAGAGAGACTACTGGGAAACTATGCAGTGAGCGCTTGTGTGTGTGTAGCGTTCTTCCTATAAACACACAAAAATGTGTTCCCATTCCTGTCTGCAAGGATAAACAGGCATATATTACTTTTTACTGTTGGTTCATTTCTAGTTTCCGCTGGGAAAACGAAGCTTTCTCATTGTAATCTGATAGTTTTAAGTTGCAGTTCTCCAGTTCAGCTGTCTTTTCTGTGCACAACAGCTGAAAGTCCTGTCCTAGATGCATGCTCCATGTCAGCTTTTTGCCTTGTAACTGTAATCCTGCATGCTCTCTGTTCATTTGCATTCATGAGAATTAAGTTCGGCTCATCCACAGTCTGCTGTTAAAACGAACCGCATGAGTGTGTTGGTACACACAGCACATCCTGTGGATTTATTGTCATTAGAGCTGGACTCTGCTAACTCTGGCCGTTCTGCTGAGCTCTGAGCTTTCTGTGGTTGTCTGTCTGCAAGTCTCTTTACCACAGTGCTATAGCAATTTCTTTCTGGGAATCCGAGATGCTGAGCTTGTGTGTTCCTCAAGAGTTTCCATTTTTGTCCTAAAAAATACTGAAATACCTTGATGGCATTGTCCTATTTGGAAAAAGCTTGTGGTGTGGAGGCTGTTTTGCTGGAAAAAAATGAGCTCTAGGATTTATAACCTACTTTAGTCACTAGATGTTTCTATAAATACGTAGAGTGCAGTGAAGACAGTTTTGGGCTGTTTTATGCAAACCGGCCTGTCGTGCCGTGCTGTAAGTTTTCCCTGACCCTCTGTTTCCATGGCCCCCTCATGTGGCCGCTCCTCACTGCCTATAGCACGAGCTATCTCCGCCTATGAAAACACGGCGCGTGATTGGCTGATCCTGCAGATGCACAGGAAGTTCAGGGTTTCTAATAACCACCCAGAGACACAGTTACCATAGAGACAAAGATAAGCCCCCTTACTAAAAAAAAGGAAAAAAGCCTGCATGTCATCACAGCAGCCTGCAGAAAGCGTCTGCTCTCTCTCTCTCTCTCTCTTCTGCCAGTTCTCCTATTAGCAGCTGCTAAAACAGTACAGCACCTACCTTATGAAGGTTGCCTTTTCTCACCGCTCTTCAAATGCACGTGAGTTCTGCTTTGCTTTTTACAAACTTTCCTCAAATCCTTTATACGTCGTTACCGTGCTCGTGCACTCACTCGTGTAAACTTCTGGTGAGCGCACCAGAACTGCAGGCTTTTAACAAATCTAAAGCTTTGACCCGTGCCTAGAGGGCATGTTTGTGCTTTTGTGTGCACCCTTTCCCGTGGTTTACACAGACCGTAACGATGTCCGTCTGTCTGGCCAGAGCTATTTGTGGGATCTGATGTAATGGCAGGCTGTGTGTAATTTTGATACCACTGGCTGCACGTTAATTGATTTCAGGAGTATCGTTGAGGCTGTTAAAACGCTGCGTCTCAGACCAAGAGCATTTGAAGGACTCGAGGCTACGGCCCACACTTTTAAGTCCGGTTCCTTGCAAACTGTTTTAGCAAGCATCTTCTGCAAGTTTTCCTCAACAGTTGGAGGGGAGGCTGTGGGGGCTGGGGTTGAGGAGCTGTTTCGTGTGACGTGCCGAAGGGAGGCAGAGCTGCCGGTGAAAGGGCTTCCTGTTGATGGGAGTCTTGTGTTATCTGAGGAAAGGGTCTGTTGGCAGGAAATGTGTCAGCCGCTTGTTTTCTTTAAAGTAAGAGGATGTGTCGTGGATCGCTTGTTTCGTCTTCGGCAGGAGGTTTGGAGAGGGGAGGGAAATCGCTTTGCTCTGAACTTTTGTGAAATTCGATACATGTTGCCTTGACAATTTCTCCTCAGTTTGTGTGTGCCGCCGTTGTCATTACGGCATGTGAACAAAGCCTCTTGAAAGATCCAATATCCTCGAGCAAAACTGTATGCCCCACCGTACACCCTTTCAAATGCAAATGCCATACAAATTCCTGCCCGGAAAGTGACTATTATAGTTCAGATTTGGTTGTCGGTGCAGTCTGAGCCGGTCTTAGAGGAGGGTTTAACCGTGTCCGTTTACACTCGCAGCATTGCAGACTCCATCTCTCATTTGGCACATTTGCATTTCAGGAGATTAAGCATCAGAAGTTTCCCAGTATGGTGGGTGGCTGTTGGCCCGGGGCGTGCAGAGAGCTGGCATTATTCAACCACGCTGGGCCGCGGGATGAGACTAGGGCGCCGTCCGTCCGTCACAGTTGAGAGGTGAAGCTGGCTGCCGAGGAGGTCAAGGCACTTTTTATTTTGAGGCAGTGGAGTGTGGGGCTCCTCAGCGGTGCACCTCGTCTTTTTTGTCTGTCTGAGATCTTGTAACAACAGCCAGTGGGTTGTCAACGGACCGAGTTTTGCGCCGCCCCTCATGAACATTAAACAGCACGGCAAATCGGAGACGAGCGCTCGACGAGGCAGAGAAATATGTCAAAACATCAGAGGAGTAGACAGGCAAAAAAACACCTGATGGGAAAGAATGGGAAATATGCATGATGGTTCAGATTCAGAGTTTCGCTCAACGCTCTACTGTCGAGCGCCTACTAGAGCGTAAAGTGAATACGGAAGAGGGTAGACTCAGATAGTCCTATTAAATGTTTTCGCTTGTGATTTGCGGCTGAATTCTCCAGGGCCGTTTCCTTGTGATGTGTAGTTCAGCAAACCGTTGGAGTCTGTGATAAAGGTCTCCAGTCAAAACGCATCTCCTCATCGGGTGTTCTGTCGCGTGTGACTGAAAGCGTCACGTCCTCAATCAAAATGAGGCCATACATCTTCACCCCTCTATGCTATCTCCCCTCTATCGCTTTCTCCCCCTGGTGACCTTCAAGCTTTTTATTTTATCTCTATCTTGGTGATTAAGTGTCTGGAATGCATGTGATGATGGTGGCAGCCTAATGAATGATAGACCCTTGGCAGCAGTACCTCTGGGAAGCACATTTACCGCTTGCTGAGCACTGGCTAAAAATGAGTGAGCTACAAAGACATGTTTTGAATCTCACACTTGTCTCGTTTTAATTTAAAATTAACTCTATCCCCTTCAAGACCACCTTTTCTCTGGGTTTTGTTTCCTTTTTGCACAGTCTCCCCTTATTTTTGGTGCCTCTCTGGTTGCACAGGAGGGAAAAATAACTGTAAATTTGATGTAAACACTTGGGATTCCAGCAGAGAAAAATGAGAAGTGTAGCTGCTGCTGAAATGGCTGGCTACTTAGATCCAGTGTGAGTGCACGACCGGCTCTCCAATGCACTGGAATTATGTCCCCAGCCGACCGCTACCGATCAAATAATAACAGACTCTAGAATGGTATTGACACTCAAGTTCACACCTGGGTCAAAAGGCGCTGTGCTGCAGGCACAATGGAGGATTGTGCCCCAAATGATTAAACTGACTGCAGCGGCTTTTTACTGTGGCTTACAGAGCACAATTGTCAGAGCTTTACGGAACATTTAGATCCTTTCAAAACTGTGTGTTTGTGAACACTTCACACTTTTTTATAGCTTATAATTAATGCTACGGTTTTGTTCAAATCCCTAGAACTAAGTATTAACCTTTAGTATGTATCTCGTTCCACAATGTTTTTGCTACAGGCATGAATCAAATTGTGTGGCTTTAAGGAGAAAAGAGATATTTTTTGAATATAATTTTTTCTAAGTGACATTCAACTTATGCCTGCTGCATGATAAAAAAAGATAAAAAGCAAAAACATTGTTATTGTACCAATAAGGTGGCATCCATTTAATAATTAAAATGATAATTTACACTTAATACGTTATTATTGCATACTGTTTTATAATGTACTACAATACTGAAGTGCAGATAATTGGCACTATTTGCAACAAGTAGTATACTTGATAAATGTAAATATACACTGTATTTTTTATTCCATAGTAAGGGCAATTCATACAATACATTTAAACTGAGCCACTTTAATACCATCTCTGAACTTTCTACCACGAGTTTTTGAATATAATTTTTTCTAAGTGACATTCAACCTATGCCTGCTGCATGATAAAAAAAGATAAAAAGCAAAAACATTGTTATTGTACTAATAAGGTGGCATCCATTTAATAATTAAAATTATAATTTACACTCAATACGTTATTATTGCATACTGTTTTATAATGTACTACAATACTGAAGTGCAGATAATTGCCACTATTTGCAACAAGTAGTATACTTGATAGTAGAAATCCTGCTATTTTAACATAGTGTAACTAGGTATTTGCACTTAGTGTAAATAGCATATTGCTAAAAATACTGCTATTTTCACTTAGTGTAAATAGAATCCATTGCTACTGAACTTTCTACCACGACTGTTCTTCGGCTGGTTCTTCCTGTATACGTTGATTGACAGATGTCTCGTCCAGTCAGCGGTGAGTAATCCCAAACCAATGGCGCTGTCTCAAACTATACCTACCTTTTCCGGTTTGTCTGATGTGTCTTTGTGTTTTCTGACTTGTTAATTTGTTTTCGAATTTGTTGTTGTGCTTTCTGAATTGTTATTTTGTTTTTTAGACTTGCATCTGCGTTTGTAATTTGTTATTTTGTTTTCAGAATTGTGATTTGTTTAGCACTTCTCGGCCACCGTACGTTTCCCATTCCATGACTAGTAAAATCATGGAAACTTACTGTCTGTATAATATTGAACATGGTTCTTGACGAGCTGCGTCTTCTTCTTGATTGACAGGTGTCAGCATTAAAGTGCAATACTGCCACCTGGGAGGTCAACCAGGTACTGGCGCTGGAGTAGGCTATTTGCGTGTCATGTTATCATAAGTGTCCTGTTCATTTTAAATATTGTGGTTATCGCCAATTCCAGTATATCGTCACACCCTAAATTAACACGATATTTCATGATTTGAATATCATGGTTATCGTCAATACCGGTATATCGCGACACCCCTAAATATATATATATATATATAAGGAGAGGAGAGATAGAGATAGATAGGAGAGAGATATATATACAGTGGGTACGGAAAGTATTCAGACCCCCTTAAATTTTTCACTCTTTGTTATATTGCAGCCATTTGCTAAAATCATTTAAGTTAATTTTTTTCCTCATTAATGTACACACAGCACCCCATATTGACAGAAAAACACAGAATTGTTGACATTTTTGCAGATTTATTAAAATATATAGATAGATAGATAGATAGATAGATAGATAGATAGATAGATATAGATATATAATTTACATTTAATTGCTCTTTTTAGTATATTTGTACACCTCCTGAGTGAACTTTTTTAATTAGAAAGAAAAAAAAGTTTTTCAGTAATAGGAATCACATATTCAGGATCTAAATTCCTAAGAAGTTGTTCATGCATTCAAAAGAATGAAGTAGCAGAGTTCCTTCAAGAAGGGCAATTAATCATATACACCAGGAAGAAACCCCTGTAATAAATGACCGGGAAGGTTCTTTGAGGGCAGTCAGATTGTCACCACATTGATCCTACGCATTCTGATCTGCAATACTCCTAACATCATTTGACTAACGTGCTTTTATGCATTTTGAGCTGTACATCGCACTGTTTCATTCAAATTATCAACCAGCAATCAAATTATCCACTCAATATTTCAAACCTGAGTAATAAGCACTCGTGTTCACTGACCTAAGAGGCAATTACCTGGAGCTGAGTTCTTACCTCAAAGGCTTTCAAGCACAAGAAGAAAATGAACGGCACTCCAAGGCCTTTACAAACAGATCTGGAGTTCTTACTTGGCACGGCGAGCATACAGGGTGACACTGAGAAAACAAAAAGATGGAGGAGAGCAGGAGGAGGAAAAGTGGTACATAAAGTCGATCAATAAAGAGAGATCAATGCTTTTGTGAGGACTCAAGCAGACCCTTGGGAGTTTTGGCTACGGAGAACATGGCAGAGTATTGTGTCTGTAATCCCCTTCTCTCTTTCTGTGTTTTCAGAGAGGGCTCCATTTGGAGAGTGGCTTCACACTCGCCCCACGCTTCTGGCCCACTTTTAAAGAAACTAGTTCCTTTGCCTTTGCCTCAGGCATGAATGAATCATAAATTTGAGGGAGCTGGATACTAGAGAAGGTACTGTAGAATCCTGTTAAGGCCGTGCTGACTAATATGATGCGACTGGTTACAGAAAATACATCTTGCAGCAAATCTGATGAGAACTCTCCAGAGGAAGGAAGAAAATATGGTTTTCCAATATACTAGGGAAAATGTATTTGTTTTGCTTGTTTATCGATCATCATGATGAATGTGAACCTGCAATCTGTCTGTCTATCTACCTACCTATCCCTCGCTCTCTCCGTCTTTCTCTGTTTATCTATACAGTAGATGAACACAAGCATTGATTTGTTTTAAATAATAAAAAATAAATAAAATATCAATGTGCTACTTATAGTATCTATCCACCAAAATGCTACAGTTTCTACAGTTATTGTTATTAATGTAAAATCATAATAAATTAGCACTGGATTATGTTCCAGCATTGTTAGCATATTTTTTCTGTCCTTTCAATTACTTTTTTTTCTGTCATTTTAAAATTAGTTTATTTCCACAGTTCCCCTTCAGGAACTCGAGCTGCGTTGAACGCTGCGGAATGCCCTCGGCGAGACACCGTACTGAAGCCTGTGTGAAATCAGTCCAATAGCGAAGCGAGACGTCATGAGCGGGGTAACGTAAGCAGCCAGAAAGCATAAAGGCACATCCGGCCAGCGCGCCTGTTAGCTTTTACTCTTCAGTGAGCGCGTCTGTGGTGTGTGTGTGAATGTATGCAAAGCACTCAGTCAGTAAAAAAAGTTACGCGAAAAAAAGAATGCCAAAATTCAAATCAAAAAAGAATGTGGCGAGCGGACGGCGTTTCAAGTAGTGTGTTCCTCCTTGCCCATGTTATATCTCGGGTGAGGATACACACGATTTGTGCGTCATCTGTTTGGGAGCGGAGCATGCACGGGCAGCTCTCGAGGGGGCTGCCTGCCATGATTGTGAGCTTCTCCTGCTCCGTGTGCTTCGCTCCCGCCTGGCCGTCTTCGATGAAAGCGGCCAGGCTCGCGATCCTGCTGGGTCCGGCCCCGCTGTTGCTGAGGGACAGCGGCGGCTGTTATCGTGGGGATCGCAAGTGGATTTAGCGGAGGGATCCGAGACGGGCTCGTCCTTATCTTGGTCCTCACCCGCTAGATCCACGGCCCCCTTTCAGGGTTCGGAAGCCGCCCGTGGTTTCTTCCCCCCCGAGAGAGGGCCAGACACTTCATCTATCTTCCTCCGAGGAGGTTGATGTGATGAGCGTCGACACGGAGGAGATTGTGGACTCGCCACCACAGTCCCTCGCGTATGAGGAGCTTGTGGAGGTTGTTACTCGTGCTGTAGCTAAATTAAATATCGAATGGCCAGCCGAGAAACAGGACGCTCGTCCCAAAAGCAAGTTGGACGAGCATTTCCTTAGAGCAAGATTACAACCTTCACGTCAGGGCCTTCCATTTTTCACCGATCTCCATTCTGAGCTTTCGAGATCGTGGGATAAACCGTATTCATCCCGACTCTTTAGCCCCTCTGTTTCTAATTATTTGAACATTACGGGGCTAAATGAGAAGGGATATGGGGCGGTGCCGGCGGTGGAACAGACACTTTCCCCACCAGGCCAGTAAGACTAACATCCAGCCTGGTTGGGAAAGCATATACGGCGGCAGGTCAGGCTGGTGCATGTCTGCACACTATGGCGGTGTTGCAGGCGTACCAAGCCGACCTGCTAATAGACCTGGACGCTAGGGAGGGAGAGGAATCCGACGCAGTCGCTGAACTACGTCGGGCCACAGATCTGTCGCTTCGGGCCACCAAGGAAATCTGCGGACCGTTATTATGTCTAAGAGGACCTCGGTCAAACGGCCCTGACAATTCCACCGTCAGGGCCACGAGGGCAGCCCACCACGGGGAGGAGAGGTACACACCTCAGCAAACGGTGCCTGATCCTCCTCAGTGCCCTCGGGGAGACTTACTGATGCCCCTGCCACCCTCGGTGCTTCAGGGCCCAGTGGACTCCGGCGAGCAAAATTCCTCCTTGGCTCCTTGTCGTCGTGTAACGCTAACATCTAACGCTTTGCCCTGGGCATGGTTAGGGCGTTCCTTTACCCGAAAACCGGGTATGTCCCTAAGGTGCCCACCTCGTCGCCAGGTCCCATTGTACTACAGGACTTTTGTCCTCCTCCCTTCCAGGAAACAGGCCAGGAGAGACTCAATCTGCTGTGACTTACATTCACTGAGCTGCACAGTGGCGTAAAGCAGATCAGTTATTTATTTGCTTTGGTTCACCTAAGAAAAGAGTTCCAGCGACCAAGCAAACTATGAGTCGGTGGGTGGTCAAGGCCATCAGACTGGCCTACGAGTCCTCTGGCCTCCAGTCAATTTCCAAAGCGTTCAACGCAGCGTCTCGTTCCCTTCGGGGAACCATGGTTACATACGTAACCTCGAGACGTTAATGTACTACCAGCAGTAGCTATGTTATTTTAGGGAAACTATGATTTCCATGAAGAGAAGGTTTGATTTCCACAGGAATAATGCTTTTACACACATTATCTGCTGCATGTCTCGAAAGGCTTGAGCTCAATGAGTAACTTTTCCAAAATGTTTCAGAAAAAATATCAAATTATGTCTTGGTAATGTTATGATCAGGGTGAGAGGCAAACATTATAAATGTTGTGCGTTCCTCTCATTAATGTTTTATCGAGGAACATGCAGCGAAGTGTGTCAAAGCGAATCCCGCATGACACACGCGCACACAGATTCAATTAGATTTTCAATTTTGTGCAGATATTTATTAAATGGCACTGATTTTCAGCACATTTTATTTTCCAGCCGTGGCTAATGTATAATGTATGTGCTGTCAACCTTTGATGTTTAAATTCTGGTACTCTCACGAGGCTTAAATACATGCAAACACCTGTTAATTATTTTTCATCTACTGCATTTAAATGACTCCTAAAGGTTTGATTACTGCCAGTTGAAGTCATGCAGATCTGATGAAGAAAAGCAGATGCTCTTGCGCAGTGATATATGATGGGCCTGAAGTATGGTAAATTCATATTTTCTCAAACAGTTTTTATTTAATCCTTGTGAATTTTTTTAAATAGTTTAACAGTGCTATTTTCAGCAACTTTATAGTAATTATC